TTTTATATATAAAAGTATAAACAATATTATTAGTTAGCTGCTAATAATATATTGATTAGTTAATATTATTGCACATGCATATGTTTTAAGTAAATAAATAAATAACTTACATTGCAAAACATAGATAGTGTCATAGGGAACATTTTTCCTGCTGTAATATATAGAGGTTTATTGGCACGAATCATTATTATGATTAAAGTTCTCGCTTCTTCCGGTTCTAACGTATACCATTCGTAATCATATACTGCACGATATATTCCTTCACACTAATGTAAATAATATATAATTATCATTGTTTTTTATTATATGTTTTTTATATAATAATACTTACTTGTGTTACTAGAATTTCACCTACTATACAATAGAGACACATGTGGCCGCAAACGTTTAACGCTGCTGATATTAAATATATTAAACGCATTATTGACATTTCTCTTCCTTCTGTAAGTATCTAAATAATCAATAAAGCAATATAAGCACAATTGATGATGTGATTATCTTAAATATAAAAAATTCTTATCTATTATAAAATATCTTTCATATTACCTTAAATAAGAAAAAATTTTTATTGATTTTTATTAAAAAATATCAATGTACTATTTATAATAATAAATTAATGTAATAATAATATATTAATATACATATATTAATATTATTATTATATAATATAATAATGTATATATATATATATATATATTAGTTTATATTTAATGCAAAATGTGTAAGTGTGTAAATATTACTTCATTTTTAATAATTAATAAAAATTTTAAGAAGATTAGAAAGCTGAGATATTTTATATTTGCAATTTTGAAAAATTTTATCGCCAGATTAACAATTTTATATGCTAATCTATTATCATATAATTTGAAGTATAAAAAGATTCTTTCTAATCTTTTTAATAACTCACTGCGATAGTTAAAAATCCATATAAACAAAATAGAATACCAAAATAAAGTAACAGACCGAGTAATAATAGAGTGAATGTATTTTCGACGATTTTAAAATACCTAAAAAGAAATGTTAACAATTCTTTAAATTTTATAAATATTTGAAATATATAAAAATATATTGACAAATTGAATTAAAAAATTAAATATATTGAAAAATTAAAAATATGTTGAAAAGAGTAATTTAATTTCATAATGAGCGTAAGGATATGTTAACACGAAACTTAATTAGTCGTATATGATCCTTGACAATGAAAGCCAAACCGTTGTTGAAGGTTTCAAATCGTTTTATATTAATCAATTGTTCTTTAAGATTTTCCATTTGACCACATAAATGAAATACCAGTAATCCGAGTAAATTATCTATGCCAGTATAAGATATAGAAGCCATAATGAGCAGAACGACTTGCGCAGCGAATGTAAGCTCGTAATACGGACTCTGATTTTTATCATAGAAATAATAGGTTTGCAAAGGCAAAATTTTAATTGGATCAGTAATATTTGTCATGTATCTTAATGATGTTCCAAAGCAAGGTAAAAATACAAGTAAACTGACTGCTAAAATCATAAGGACATATCCGAATATAATAATGGCACGTGCATTCTGCGCATGTTTTATCATAATATGTAGCTCTTTGTCGGTTTTAATTTTTAACCAATCATCGGCAATCATGTTTAAGGCCAATATAAGATCTTTGAATAAAATAAAATTCTGTTTAAAAATCAGCATGTGTATAAAATTAAAGCGGAATTAATTTTATAATTCGTAATTTTTACTTTAAATACTCAAATTTTCTTGGAAAAGAATTATCAATAATAACAAATTTGGTTTATCGTAATTTCAAAAGTCTTATAAATATCATAGAAATAATTTTTTATAAAAACAATGAATCAGCATTATTGCCAGAAAATTTATTTTTTATTATTAATGTTTATAAAAATAGTTATCAAATTTTTACGTATTATTTATGCAACATGATTAAAAATACAGAAATATTTTGGTGAGAAGTCATTAAAAACAATTTACATCAAACAAATTAAATCATTCCCAATTAATAAATTCATTTTTTGAAATTGTATATTATATTAAAAATTTTATATTAAATTTGTTTTATTGAAATTAATATTACTTATTAATTTATTTAAACTAAATTTATTACCTGGTTTCTTCCACCGTACAATCACTAGTTTCATTATCGTTATCATCAGTGGTAAAGAAAATTGCAAATTGTCAATTATTGCGATCATGTCACCCCAAGTTCTCACCAGCGAATGCATTGCGGGAATTATTCCAACGAAAATAATCACAAGTAATGAGAATGTCGCGCGCAAATCTGATAAAAATTTATCAGAGGTATTTTTGTAAATATTTGGCCATATACCGACAATATTTAATGTAAGGCGATTCAGCTTAGTTGCCCATTCAAAATCTACCTAGGCAGATATTATGCGTCTAAACGATGTGATAATAATTTATTTTTCAATTTTATTTATATTTTATTATGCAGAAAGATTAAAAAATTGTTACGAAGTGTGGCATTTAATAATCATTTGTATAAGAATCTTGTCAACAACATAAGAAGTTAATTTAAGTTAAATGTGGAAGATAACAATATAATTATAAATTTTATTTTTATTTATAATATTTTTAATAAATGATAAACAATCATTTTAATCGCGTTCCATCATGATTTAAATATATTATGTATATTAAAAATGATAATCATAATCACACCTGCATATGCCATTACTTCGGTGATATACATGCTCGGAAGTATACATAAAAATGAACGTTTTTATTCTCTTCCGTGCGTGAAGTATATCCTATAGACTTCGGAGAGTCAACTATTGTACGTCACTTCGATTAAGGTTCGTAAACTCTATAGGCGCTTTATAAAGTGTAGAAAATCGAACGTCTACACGATTGTTGTAATTGTCAGGTGTAACGATCTCATAGAAAAATGGAAAAGAGATGGAAAAAAAAGGAGTGACATTTACAGGGCCGTAGCTATAAACTATATCTTTATTTATATCATTACAATATTAAGTCGCTCAAATTGATAGCTCATCAATGATACGACTTAATATGATATGAATTAATATGAAAAATGTAATACGTGATAAATTAGATCAATTAATAAGAAATATTCCTTCCAGTTTTTTGTATAGTAATATTTTAGAATCTTTAATAATATTATTTTTTGAGAATGTAATAATTATGAAATATTTATAGTAAATATTTCTCATTCAATATTTCTTGATTATAAGTCATATAAGATTTTATTAAGTTTTTTCTTCGCAAGTAAAAACAGTATGCGCCATCCCTGACTTTCATACATTCAAAATTTATGAAGATGTATATGGTGTATACGGCATTACAGTTGCCACGTCATCATTATCACAAAAACTGTTGTCGCAAAAGTTTCTGCGCTAATAAAGTGTAGAACTTTAATATTGTTTTTTTCTCACACCGTATCCCTTCTCTATGTTTTAAATAACATTGAAGCATGCGCAATTCACAAAGTTGTACTTACATCCTCGATATCTTCAGGGAGTATACACTCCATGACATTTTGCGTCGACAATAAGAACGTTGCACATAAAGTTCAGTGATGAGCCCAATTTATCGTTTTTGCATTGCATTATTAAGTAAGCTCATCATTACATCTCTTTGCAATATTTAACTTTTGAAAAATGTAAGATGTCGAAATTGCTGAAAAAAAGAAAATTATTCTATTAATAATTTAAAAATGCTTCTAAAAATTCAAGTTTTAATAATATCATTTTATTTTGTAGAATTTTTCGGATTTTTTGTTTTAATTTATTTTGCAGCGGAAAACTCATAAAACACAATGATCAGTTAAATATGTCAACCAGGTCATTCGCAAATTCTTTAAAACCAGAATTCCATGTAATTCATGGCAGGTTAAACGGTTACAGTGTCTTATATATTAATATTATTTAATTTTATAAATAGATATTATAGTATTAATATATAGTATAAATAAAAGACTTTTATAATTTATTTATTCATATATCTGTATACCTTAACTAAAGAAAGTTTATCGAATTTTTGCGCATTTAATTTCTTTTTTTACTATTTTTTTAGACTACACACACACACACACACACACACACTACTGTTATTATAACAAATGTATTTATATTAGTAAATT